ATAGGATTTTTATTCATTTTTATCAAGACTTCTTGAACCTACGTGTTTTTCTAACATCATGAAAGAATCATTTTATATAGTCATAAACTCAAATTTGGAGCAATACTCTATAATATGATATAGATTTTAAAAAAAGAAAAGGTGAGTGTTACCAATAGTTTTTACATAAAGAAATGTGTTACCTACCATCCAAGATGGAATATAAGCCACTCACGTTAACAGCTTTACTTAGGATTGAGTAAGCTGGACACCTGTTAATCTCTAGTACAGCACTTCCAATGTACACAGAACAAATGACATCTTTGAGAATATGGAGAGCTCCATTTGAAGCCATGTTGTCTGGTTTTATGATATGTCTTCCAGAAGCTGTAAGTACCTGTTAGAAGATGCAACAGAAATATTTTCAATATGATTCAATATTTGTCCAAATTGAATTTTAATGAAACATCAATTATTATACATATCTGATGTTGGAAAAACAAATAACTGAGCAACTAACTGTTTTTACATTACAGATTTAATTGTTGAGTTACTTTTTCATAATTTTTTTTCTCTCTAACCAGTTTCTCTATAGCTGTATTGTTATAAATTGAAGGCATAAGTATACAGGATGGAGCAAAATACCTTGGTTCATGATGTACTGAACAGTTATATCATGTTATCACTTTATTGTTGTTTCATTTAGAGCATAGTTTAATTTCTAGCCATTATTCTGAAACAAACAATAACTAAAATTGGTTTCAATTACCTTCGTGATATTTTCTTTAGTACCAATAATTTAATACCAGCACTTATACCAACCATACAGTACAAACTTTACAGTAATATTTGCTCACACCCTGTAAGTATAAAACTTGCATGTTTCATTGAAAGGTATATGTGTATGACTGTATCAGTTTCTCCTTGTAGAAGGCAATTTTTTTTGTATTACAAAGATTGAAAGATATACACTAAACAACACACTTTCAAAGAACAATTTATCACTATATTTCTGAGAGTAAGAAAACCTTATTTTACATTATTTATGGGTTTCACTAGCCTTGGAAGACAGTAATGACTACAGTGAACTATTTCTTAAAAGGTGCTAATGAGAATCTGACATATATTACAAAACTGAGAGTCAGCATTCAAACTGTTAGCAAAATGTTTAACAAACCATAAGATACTAGATCTGAAACAAAAATTCAATATTTAACAAACAAAATGCGTGCAGGGAAGTTTCTATAAAAACACTAAGTGAGAACTTTGCGTAAATAAAAAGTATAAATTGCAATTGGTTTGAAAGTAGTTAATTACATGTATAATAATCGTACTATAGTTGTATCTTTTAAGACTCATGTTTGATATTTAGACATTTTGTTTTAGTATAAAAATTTGAAGAGTAATTTTATTTCATTTTCATTTCCAGTTCTTGTTAGTACACAAAAATACAAATTTCATTATAAATGTGTTTATCAACATCTGATCTTGCAATATAACAATAGCATGGTTGTGATATCACAAAATGTACGTACTTTCACTCCTGCTGTATTTGTACTAGGGGATCAATATATATAAGAATCACCCAAAATGTTTGCATTTTCATTACTAAGTCAGATCAGTATTAAGAAGCCACAACACAATAGAATCACAGTTAATACACATCAAACTACCTAGACTTAAAGGAGAGCAAAAACACCATTTACAATATCCCTTATGAATGTGGACTCCAATACACTGGAGAGACAAAAAGACCAATAAAAGCATAATACATCATACAAATGAGAAGACAATACAATAACATGGAATAATACTCAAATAATATGATGCAAATCACACACACACACATATATATACAGAAAACACAAAATAAAAGAAGCCTTCGGCATCCACCTAACTGATAATCCCTCAGTTAACCTAGCATAAAAGTCAGCAAAACTTGGAAATATTCTTGAAACATTCAAATAGCTAATTGATTTAAGTTCTAATGAGTAAAGATCCTAGGAGAGTGAGTAACACACCAGCCTCTCTATCAAGAACACCAAGGATCAAATCTTGGCCACTACCAAAGCAATAGTAATCTTTCTCAGGATTTTCCTGAAGACTGTAGCAACATAAGTGCCAAAACATATGATAAAGACTAAATATTAATTAGTTTCTAATTTATAATTAGACTTGGTGATCCTACAGCAACCCTTGAATTATTCACAAATGTTCTTGAATTAAAGGTTCTTCAACAGAAATATTTGTAGAATCATATCTGATTGTATTGAAAAAAAAATCATCAAACTTGGGATAATCATTTATCTGAATTTTCTCTAGCCATTAAAACTTCTATTCATGAGTCTATAGGTTATAAGCCAGCAAACTTCACTTGAGATTTTCCTTACTTGGAACAGACTAATGAAATACCCAACAGCACCTCAAACCATTGATGAATGAACAGCAGAATTACAAGATGCCAAACAGGAAGCAAGATCCAAAACTGAAAAGGCTCAGAAGTGACAGCAACAAGCCTACAACTGTGAGAGACACCTAGACATGTTTAAAGTAGGTGATTTAGTATTATTAAGGACATCTTTTATTTTCTGCTATAAATTATTTTACTGCAAAATTTGCTCGGAGGTGGTGGACCTTTTGAAATTATGAAGTGTGTTACTCCATTAATGTATAAATTAAAAGATCCTAGATCAGGTGCAGTTATAGGACGATTTCATATTTCTAAAATAAAAATATATATATTTCCCCAGTAACAATTCTATCAACAGTGAAAAAAGATAGTAATCATCCTAGATAGTTGCAGCAAAATGAAAACATTGGCTACAGAAGATGTGACAGTTGTTTCCCCACAAGTGTGCTGGTGTGTTCACTTCTCATCGTTCAATGGATCCTGCTAATAACTTACCTCTATCTCTACCTTACAGGACATTGCAACCACAATGCAGAGTTAACAATCGTAGCTAGCTGGTCTTTTAAGTATTAAACTTTCAGTAATCCAAACCAGAGCCAGAAGTTACAGAAGATCTAGCTGAAGATTCAAAAATGTGAATTGTATTTTTCTTGTAAGGTATGTATACTTAAACTGTAAAGGATTCATGATATCAGTAGAAAGAGGGAGTTAAAACTAAGGATACAAAAATTTGGATATCTTATATGAAGTGATTAATGTCATCACTTTGTTTCTGGTTCCAATATTATTGATTTATTAATATTTATGATAAATTATTTATTGATATTGGTGTGAAGTACTTGCCAGGCATATGTTTATTGACTGTGTTGAATTTATTTCTAAGTATTGTTATTGCGAGTAAATTGTGTTTTTGTTGTTTAACCCTGATTGTAGCGGTGTCTTCATTTTAGACCATTACAGATGTTACAAGTTAAGAATTAGTGATAGTGCCAAATATACTTCATAGCTTTGCCATAACAAAGACAGAGCAAGCAAGTTTGGTGGAAATATTTCAATTACTTGGATATGTAGAATAATAAAAAATGTCAATAAGTGGAAAAATTTAATTTCGATTAGCGAATTTTTTGTTACAACCAATTTAATCAAAATTGCAATCACTTGATTGTTGGAATAATTGACTTAATTATAATTTTGACTAATTAGTTAGTTTACATGATACTAATCAATGTAATTGCTACTTACAGGTAATCATTTAAATTGTCCAGCTCTAAATAAGAATAAATATTTATTTGGCCAGCTTATCATTTGTTTTAATGTTACACTTGGTGATTTTGTCCCATTGTCTGTAAAAGTTAACATTTGTCCAGAATTGCATGCATACACATGTGAATTTTTTTGCATTGTCATAGCAACAAGCAGGATTTAGCTGTTCCATTTCAGCAGGGACCAAAGGTTGTTTTTATTAACATTGTAAGTGACCATATTCTAGGGAATTTCCAATACATGATGCAAGGCAAATTTTATGTAAATAACAATATGAATTCTGACCAATTGCAAAATTAGAAGGAAAATAATGAGTTCAGTATGCCCATCTACTGTTCAACTGGAAGAAATATGAGAAAAAACAACTAGTGTGAACACATATTATCCAATAATCCTTCAGTATCTGTTGGTTGTCCCTTCATGAGTATTATATTATATAAAACCAAAGTTATGGTTAAAATTTGTATGCTCTGAGATGTGAAGATAATAGACTGACATGATTATGTAAGTATTTGCAGCCAAGATTTCTCAGTAAAACATAGAACATCTTGTAAACTATTCTGTGCCTTTGAAAAAATTTCACTACACATACTCTACAAGAAATTTTAAAATTTATTTGTCAAACACTGAAGTTGCTAATGTGAAGCTTGTTATCCAGGAATTTGTTTTTTTGGCATGACAGAGATCACTTTAATGAAAAAAAAACTAATAAATTCACCCCACTAATGTCATTTACATGTCGTGTGTCAAAGTTACTAAACTAACCAAATTTCAGTTGCAGGGAAAATAAAATGGGCAATTACAAGTTCCAGTATGCCAAGGTTTTGATTTTCATACTAAACCTTAACTTGTATGGGTGATTTTTGGTGGAGAAACATAGAATACAGAATATTTTTTAATAACTACAATTTGTTTAAAACAGCATGTTATTACATGGAAATATTCAATAAAGAATGTAAATAAATAAAAAGTATTTGTAACTATAAAATGCAAAATTAGTTATAAACAAAATTGCTTGGGATCATAAATCCTATCTTTGCACTTAAGAGTTTAAAACACTATAAACCAACTTTAGATCAGTTATTATATTAAAAACTATATGTGCTCAAAAATATGCAATGAAGTTCTAATTAATTTTACATTCAAAATAACTATGTATGAAGTCACTATGCTACTGGTAAAATTAACTTTTTTTTACAAAAACATGTTTATACGTTTTGTTGCTTTCTTTCTAACATGATCTTCCCATATTAAGCTAGTTAGAATCACCATTACTTTCAATTAAAAACTGCAGTAGAATTGAATAAACCACAATGACAAAAAAAACAACAAAAAACTAGCTGCTAAGATATCACATCTCAATGTATTCTATGACCATTCTTGTGCATAGATTTCATAAAACAAGTAACAATGTTCAACATTTAAACATGCACAATAATTTATTGTAAAAGTTAAGAGTAAAATATACAATTAAAAACTACAGATAATAAGTAATGTTAATAAAGAAAGAATTTGATTGCCATATGTTCCGTCACTCTCAACAACAATAGGCAAGGTGTTCATGAAAAATGCTGGTTGTCTATTAGCCTTTACTTCTAATTTAAAACTAATGAATATCATTAATGGTATTAAAGACAAACTTCAATTGAAGGATAAATGTGGGGTATATAAAATAACTTTCAGTTGTGGTTTGAATTATATCAGACAAATAAGCAGAAATTTGAAGTTTAGAATTAATAAACACAAAATTCAAAAAATTAAAACCAGGGGTTTGGCCTTGGTGGAAAATATGGTAAACTCTTCGTATAACATTGAATGGGATAAGATTCAAATACGTAAAGATGTTAAGCTAAAAAATGAATTAAACGCAAGAGGATCTCTTGAAATCATTAAACATACAATGATTTTGAATGGAGATCTCGGGCCAGGTGACACAAAAGTGAATTTATGAAAATCGATTTTGTAGATAACACTGTATAAAATGCAAATTATACACACGTACTTGCTGGTATAGAAATCAAATTTCCCATGTTTCTTCTGGTTTCCTGAAAATGGTAGATATTTTTCCATCTAAACATGTATAGTGTTTAATTGTATATTTTACTTTTAACTTACACAATATATTATTGAGCATTTTTAAATGTTGAATGTTCTTATTTATTTTATGATATCACATCTCCCTATCTATTAAACACTAGTAATTCCATGTGACTTATTTTTTAAATCTACTCAGGTAATTAATGCTACAGAGTCCAGTAAAACCACATGACTGAATTGCATAACCTTGACCAAAAGTTATATATCTAACAAGCTATTGTACACTAATGACATAAACAGCTGTAATCAATAACAAATGTCAACAAATTCAGTAACTTTAATACTGAACAAAATCATAGCTAGTAATGTAAATAAAACATGATATCAACATCTGTTGTGGAAAAAAATGTATTCTGAGAACACATGGGGAGGGGGTTAAATTAGGCTTTTAATTCTTCCATAAAAGACTTTTAAGTTTTCTCTAACTTTGCTATATATATATATATGGAATAAAGGTCTGAAATAAATTTTTACACAAACTGAACACTAATTTAAATGAAAATTTCCAGGATGTTACGAATGCATGCAGTAACTATCACATCATACAGCATAAACTAAGTATGTTCCAAAAACAGTGCATGATTTCTATACATTTCATACCAATTATGATAAAAAAAAATTATAAATTTTATCTAATGATATTAATAAATTCATGTAGGAAATTTTAATAGAGAAACCAATTAGTATCTAAAAAAAAGAACCTGAGACTGGTTCTGTCACAAAACTTTTAAGTGAAAAATAATCACAGAAAAATGGAAGCATTAAAAAATTAACTAACCTTTCCATTTTTATATATGTTCATTCGGAGCTCTCGATATGACAACAGAGTCCACAAAAGCTCATTGTTCTTCAAATCCTTTGACAAATGAACCTTACGTGTGACATGATACTTCAATAGATCTTTAAGTGGAACATTGTCACAGTAGCTTGGTCGGTTTGCAAATGCCTCATTAGTTGGAGCAAACAGTGTGAAAGGTCCTGGAAAATATTAGGTAAAAAAAAACGTACAAGTTAATTATATTAGCACATCTGTAATGATAACATCCCTTAACAATATATACAATGCCTGGAGGCATAAACTATAATAGAGGGTGTTAACAAATTTGCCATGTGTTTATGTGTATGTAAATAATTTTAAAGATTTAAGCTGAGTGAGTACAAAGACTGTACATTATCTTTAAAATGAAAACCTCATCCTGAATTATTTTACATTTTTGTTCATGAGCCATGAACCAAAATATTAAGTATTTAAATACTGGTTATCATTGTAAGTTACTGCTTTAAGCATTACAGCACAAATTATTACAACCTATAGACAGAAACAGAGTTTTACATCTGCTGTCACATTTTTATGGCTCAAAGGCCTCTAGGATGAGAATGGCAGTATTCAAAAAAGATATTTGCATAAACCTTTAATAAACACTTAGGTTTATTTATTAGGTGCATTACACAGAAATCACAATATTCCAACTATTTAGACAAATAACTATGACCAGTGACAACGAAAATCCATTATAAACTTTAAAAAATGTATGACAGGAAATGTACAGATACTTGTAATATCTACTATATACATACATAAGGTGTACATTACATATACATGTAGTGAATTAGACTATAAACATACCTTTATAACTTTAAAGGCACACATTAATACAATGGATTAGACCATAAACACATCAAACATCTAAGTAGAAAGAATTTAATGAGTACATACATACATTAATAGTACAGTTACACCCTTTTTTATTTATTTTGTTTATAGCAAAGTTATTAAGGCCATCTGCTACTGTCCTAAATTTTGAACAGCTATCAGATGGAAAGAAATCAGTCAAAACCATCCACTATCAACTCTTGGGCTATGCTTTTACCAACAAATAGCAGGATTCACTATCACTTTCTAATGCTATCACAGCTGAGAAGGTAACTATATTCAATGGTGAGTTATGATTATGTGACCCACAGATAGTGAAGCCAGTGCCATAAATTTATAGAATTAATAGAATAATTTATAAAAATATCAAATACTTATAGGTAAGAAAAGTGTAAATACAGATATATTACACTAACTAAAAGAATATCAAATATTTATAAATGTTAAAACAGCTGCATACACATGCATAGGAATAGATTAGGGAGATAATTCCTACTAGTGAAATGAAAATTTTTACCTAGAAAACATTTTAGTAGATTTACATGCAAGATATCAGTATTTTGGAGTTGAATGATGTCACAGGTACACATGAGCTAAATGGTCATGTCAAAATCCCCTTGAATTTGGATAGCCATGCATAATTTTGAGCTACTGACCAAAAAGAAGGCAGTAAGTTAGTAGCAACCACTGCCACAAAATCTTAGAACTGAATAATGTGATTGACTGTCACTTTTATAACACCCCCACAGCTGAAAAATTTAAACATGTTCAACAGCATCAAAATAAAAACCTTGGACCTTCTCATCTGCAACATGGCAAATTGACCATTAGGCCAAACTCAGTCCTTCACATACAAAATTCATTTTGTGGCATCTATAAATGGCATACTTATAATAATAATAAAAAAGTCACAGAACCAGAGGCAGTGCTAAAGGGGGCTACAGCCACCTAAAAATTTACCTCGCCCACCCCAACTAGCATGTCCAATATCTGTCTGGTCCACCTCAGCCTCCTACCTGAGAAAGACTGGCACCAGACCTGCACATGACATGATACTTTTGCTAATCATACTTGAATACATGTAAATGTCATTTGTTTTAGAGTGAATGTACTAACTCCGAGTATTATAAAAAATAGAAAATCATTACACAGTACACCTAATGACTAAAGTATTTAAATACAAAATTCATCATTCAGAAGTTGGATCTCTAAAGAGGAATGAATGAAACTTTGATGAAAGAGCTAAAAATACTCAAGACTCATGATCTATGGCTATGCAGGCAAATGGATGGGTATCTTACAGGAAAACAATACAAAAACATTATATAAAAAAAATACAAAGTGGTGACATGGACTTAGTTAAAAATTTCTTATCTGTTTTTATAAAGTATCCCAAAATCTCTTCTATATCTACAAAAACAAATATATGGGACACTTCATGGGGAAGTGTACAAAAAAGTGTCTGCACACTTACAAACTTAGAAAAAATTATTTTTAATCTAATTCTCCAAAATCCATTTATGTCAAGATTTTCACCCTTTTATAACTAGCATATTCATACAATATATTTCTAAATCTCCTATAGGTTCTTCATGTAGTTATGACACTCTTGTTGACCAGATGTTTTGGAAGCACAAAGAAGTGTTATATATATATATATATATATATATATATATACACACACACACACACACACTACAACTTTTGTCCTCAAGTTAGTATGTAGGTATTTCTGTATGGACTTCTTGGAAAGTTGTCTATTTAAAAGGAGATACAAAAGCCTATGCACCTGGCTTAAGATAGTGCATAGACCAATGGTTGAAAAATGTAACTAGTGAAACTGTACGATATCTGACTTTCTTTGCTTTAAATCAAAGTATCTGAATACGGTATTTCAACAGTTTTGAGTGTAGACCATCCTACTTGATCTCTGTGAAAATAATATACTATTTTCCAATGCTTTATAACAGATACAAATGGTAACTTTCAAGAACCAAATAAGCTAATAATTTCATAAAATGTTTATTTGGTACCATTACCCAATTAAAAACACCAGAAATCTTAACTGTGTATAACTTGTGCAATCAATGAAAATCATGTGGTCTGCTTTTGAACAAATAATTATCCTCAAAGATACTTAGAAAACTACTTGGTTTGCAGTTTTCAATGAATAAAGGTTATTTAATTTTTGTGTGTATATCTTTTGATTAGGAATAGTTATAGTTTTAGTTGTAATTTATGTCTTATTCAGAAATATGACAGGAAGATTGCACACATTCTTCATTTCAACATGTCACTTTCTTCCAGCCCCCCTCCCCCTAAACAAAATTGATCCCAATTCTCTCAACAAAAAATACAAATACTGCAAAGATTATCATGTCTAAGATATTTTTAGAGAGCAGGAAATATAGTTTTGTCATTTTTGGACATATGTGACATTTACAATGAATTTGGAAAATATCATGTTTTTACACCAAATTTATAACAGCGCTAGTCTCCTGTAGCATTGTTTCATGATGGAAAAATGCACGAAAGTGAAACTTCACACCTGTGAGACAGCTCGAGGAGTGTGAGAGCACTTTTATATTTAACCATTTTCAACAAAGCTTACAAATACGCTACATAAGTAGTCTGCACTACAAGTTATTATTATATATTTGTTCTTGAGTTGCATAATGATTGTATTCTAATTGAATATTTTGTAACACAGTTTCAGTTTCTTGGATTGTAATGCAATTCCTAGTAATATTTTATGAAAATAATGTCATTTTCCAGTTTTAGTCCTACATGAAAAATGAAATTACAAATTTATAAAAACATTCACCTGAATCACAAACACTCCTTAGGCATGTAATTTAGTTTGTTTTTAATGTTATATACTAGTATAGCACTTATCTATCATTCTACCTCTTTGAGTTAGTCATACTGCATGGAGCTTCACTTTAGTGGCAGGAATTGTGTAACCATATAGTGATGTAAATTGGTAATATTACCCCCAAAACATTACAAGTAATGTTACTACTTTCATTTTTTTTGCAAGTTTTTATAATACAAATAAGATATCTAAATGTGCCATAATATCTAATTTGGATGACTTGAATTTAAAGACTTGTACATTACAAACCACAAAACAGACAACACTGACAGCATGCACTAGCTTATCTTAAAACTCACTAATTACCACAAGTAAAATACATTTTATATACCATGGTACTATTATCTAGTACGGGATATTCACTAGGGGAAAATCTTTCCTTATAAATCTTTTGACATTCCTTGAAAAGGTTACTGTTTAGGTAGATGAGGGTAACGATGTGGATCTAGTATATTTGGATTTTCAGGAAGCATCTGAAAATGTGCTACATAAAAGGGCTTGTTCAAAAAGTTACCTTTGCAGATGTGTGGGATAGGTTGGTCTGTTGGATGCAAAACAGGTTAGGTGAAAGAAAGCAGAGGGTTGTTACAAATGGAGTTCATTTACACTCAATTAATGTCATGAGTGGTGAACTTTAGGGTTCAGTGTTAGAAACTCTGCTCTTTTTGGTTTACATCAATGACACAGATGAAGGAATGGTCAATAGATTATTCAAATTTGCCGATGACATTAAAATTTTGGGTGTTGCTGGTTGTGAGGAAGCTGTTGCATTACAAAAGAATTTGAATTATTCAGTGAGTAAGGCAAATAAATAGCAGATGGCTTTTAGTTATAATAAATGCAAAGTAATGAGCATGCGAGATATCACAGTTTGAATTACAAGTATAATTTTGATGGGAATAACGTTAACAATGTTATGGAAAAGAAAAGATCTTGGTGTTCTGGTTCATCAGTCTCTTAAGCCATCCAAGCAGTATGCTGTTGCTAGTGGCAGGGCAAATAACATTTTAGGTTGTATATACATAAATATTGAATACAAGTCTAAAGAGGTTATAATGTCATTGTACAGATCAATGATTAGGCCTCACTTGGAGTACTGTATTCAGTCTTGGACTTTTTACCTTAGAAAGGATATTAAATTGTTGGAAAAGATTCAGAAGAGGTCTACTAGAATGATACATAGGATGGAAAGGTTGTCATACAAGGATATCTTAAGATCTCTGTACTTGTTTTCTCTTAAAAAACAGGTGTTAAAGATCTGGTTGAGGTGTTTCAGATTGTTAAGGGAATTGATAGTGTTGGTACCTCGTTTTTTTTTTTTCATATTCAATGGTGAAAATGGTAAGACTAATGGATACAAATATAACTTTTGGTAGAGTAGGAGTCATCTTCAGCAAAGAAAAGTATTTTTCTAATAGGGTTGTTGACCTTCAGATGTGGTAGATGCAGTTAATTTATGGGAGTTCAAGGGAAAGCTTGATAAATAATTGAATGACAAGTGATGCCTTACAGTTTTTTAGTGTTTAATTTAATAGACAGGATGGCCTAAATGGACCAACAGGTCCCTTGTTGTCCTGTAATGTTACATCATATTAAATCATTTCTAGTTGTGCTCAAGCCTAAGCCAGATACAGGAATGGTCTAGCTGACAGCTAACAAAATTTTTGTGTTAATATGTTTTTGGGTTTGTTTGTTTTTTACATATAAAAAGAGATGAAATCCATTTTGTGGTCAAGTTTTTGATTTCTATGACTGTAAAACATAATACAAGTTACTTAGTAAGAAAGAACAGAAATAAAAAGTAGTCTTAACAAAGCAAGCATTACCAAACAGGCAAAGTACAAGCCCTTTCAAGGAGTGCAAGTGAAATAATTCCAAAAAATATATTGAAAATCATATGCAAAGACAGGTGAGTATCATCAATTCACAACCTCTATATTCTACTGAGAATTCTGCTGGCTTTCTATCACTGTTGTTAGTAAAAAAGAAGCTTATATTCCACACTCAAATTGACTAAAACCTATCTAAGACAAATATAGTTAAAACCACATAGGCAACGAAAATATCAACCTTAAATAATAGGTTGAACACCTGCCAAGTTTTTTTATATTTCTGTTTAAAGAATGATGATGTTTCAAGTTAGATCTCTTCATCAGATCATATAGCTTACATCCAGAAATAAAAAGTAGTCTAAACAAACCCAGCATTACCAGATAGGCAAAGTATATGACCTTTCTAGGAGTGTAAGTGAAATGCAGTTTCAACTATATTTGTCTCAGATAGGTTTTAGTCAATTTGAGTGTGGAATTTAAGCTTCTTTCTTTACTAACAACAACAACAGTAGAAAGTCAGAAGAATTCTCAGTACAACATAGATGTTGTGAATTGATGATACTCATTTGTCCTTGCATGTTTTTCAATACTTGGTTGTAAGCTGTACGATCTGACGAAGAGTGCTAGCTCGAAACATCATCCTTCTTTAAATAAAAATATAAAAAAAAAAATTGGTGATTGTTCAACCTATTATTTAATTTTAAAACCACAATACAAAAAACTGCTTGGAATGGGAAAAAATTCAATCAAACATGAAACTTCATGAAAATCTGAGCTGAAAAAAGCTGTGATTTTACCTTGTTGAAAAGAAGATTTTTTCATTAGTAAATTTTTCAATTGACACAGTAGTCCCATGTTAATTGTTAAGATATTTTAACACTTTCTTAGGTTTAATAATGAAATATATCTCATTTGTACTCCTAATGGTCTTGTTGTACAATTGAATGTAAATATGGGGTAAAGAAGCTGATTAAAAACTTGCAAGAAGTGGTAAAATAACTAACATTAGGCCTGAGTGTTAGGAAGTATTTACCACCATTAGAAAAAACATGATTTTTTAATTGTATGTACAGTGAGAAACTATGCTCTTGATGCTAAAAAATTTCCTGATGAAATTAAAGAAGGTTTCAGGATGAAAAGTAGCAAAGATTAAGTATTAATCAATAAAAAACTAGGAACAGAGCTTTTTTTTTTTTTTTTTTTTTTATCAAAACAAGTTTGTGAACACGATGAGACAGCTAATATGAGTATGTCCCATGTATCTGATAAAGAACAATTTAACATTACTACATTGTAATTTGTCAGGGTCACATACTATTTAGCCATCAAAAAGTAAGTTTGCTTTGTCATCTCAATGTTATTTAAGCTCCAATAAGATTAATAGTAGTTTTGGTGACAGCATCAGTATGAAAACACCACTAAACATGATCAAGAAATCATACTCTTTAGCACATATTAAGTTCTTTTGATTTAGTAGTTTTTGTTTTAAATTATTTCTTTTCACATCAGGAGTTTGTCGTTTGTGCTACTGTACAATTAGACCAAAAGTTTCTGAATATTGGTCTAACCACAAGCTTGAAACATATTCAACCTTTGTTTACTTTAAACAATAATTCTGCTTGAGAATAATACTTTTTATTTCATACTAATAATACTTAAGTTAACAGTAATATTGTTTTGAATTTCAATTCTAAGTTAAGGGTAATTTTTTAAATATTCATTTTATCATTATGTTGCTTGCAGTCTATTAGCACTCTTATTAGACTTTGTTGAAATACATGAAATGTCAATGAACAGCAAACTAACATCATACCTTCATGGTCTAAAGTGTTGTCTAACTTTGTTTTTTCAAGAAGATCCACCAGTACTGTTAAGTTTAGTTTTTTGGCAAGTTCTACCAAATTTGTTCGTTTGCCAAATCCTGTTGGTAGGTTACGTCTTGGGTTTGTAGCTCCACTTTTATTATCATAAAATATAGAATAATCTTGTTTTCCTCCTGAGTTGAAGTAAGGAAGCCAATTTGATGATAATCCTCGAGCATCAGGCACGGCATTCAACTTCAAAGTGAGTCTATTGTAATTTGGAAAAGTAATCAGACAGCAGCCCGTAGTCACAAAAAATATCAGGCCTACCACCAAACCAAGGGTAGATAGATGACACAGTGGACGTTTGGACATTATCTAGTTTAAAACTTAGAGTTTTTATACATATGAAGAAACGTAAAAACTCAAATTCAAAATATATCGCAAAATAATCCAAGTCCAAATTCAATTAAAACCCTAGCTATGTCTTACTCTTAATCTCAGTCAATTCTAACAACAACGCATAAGTTTACTACTATATATACTATAGCCTGCACAAACTCCAACTTTAAAGTTTATTTAAAATTAAGTTGAGAAACGTAATGCCACGTTATATTGTCTGTTTCGCTAACTTTCTCTTTCTCGTACGATAAAGAAATATTGTATTTTTTTTTCCAATTCAAAATATCAAACAGTCGATAAAGCCATAATATTGTTGCGTCATCGAGATCATGTGATTCTCACGCCCTCTACTTTCTA